TACTAGGGGCTCCTGGCCGTACTGCTAGGAGCAAGGACGCTACTAGGCGCTCCTGGCATCGCTACTAGGAACAAGAAGCTACTGGGGGCTCGTTTGGTCAATGCCCCGACGCCAAGAAGGACCTGGCACGGTAGCCTGAGACTTCGGACCTTGGCCATGGACCTGGAGCCGTCCAAAAACGACCTTCACCTTGCTTGTCGACCTTTGCACTAATGCGGTTTTAATGCAATGTAAATATCAAAAGGTATGGTGAGAAGCCTTGAAGGAACACAGAGTTCAGGCCGTTCTGAGCCAGTGGCCCTTTTAGGACTGCGGCAATAATGCTCAAAAACCCAGAAGGAAAAGGAAGATAAGGAAGCGTTGTTTTTCTAACCTTTCATGCTAGTGGACTATTCTTAGCTGTCACTTGTTAACGAGCATGGGCAATCACGACCTTGCAGGCGCCAATTTTCGGGTCTAGAAGTCAGGCGCGTCAGTTGTTGGGTGCATATGCCATTGATGCATGTACCATCGTGCACGTACCTGGCTACCTACACGAACTCTTTCATTCCACTCATTGGGCAGCTCATAATATGCATAAAGCAATTGCAAATATCTGGAATCATGGGCAGCATAGACAAGAATCTGATCCAGCAAAGGCCGCTTCTGAAAGATTTCGTACGACCCACCTTTCTCAGGCTCAAAAAGCTGTTTGCCACATTTGTTGATGAACTCAGCAAAGCTCTTCTGACTTTGATCAAGACGGTCACATCCAGCCAAGCATTTCTGCAAGCTGAAGACAAAGTTGACCGTAAGGCCCTTGCTCCTACGAGCCGCTACTTCCGCAAGCTGCAAATCAAATATGTTGTGAGGCTCAATTCCAAATTGATGGTACAAGGCATCCACATCGTTGCGCGGGTCAAACCATATTTTCAGAATCAGTGGGTCCTCCAAAATGGTTTTGATTGATAGCCCCTTGGGAGTTGCAATGTGTAGCGAGCGAGGTAGCACATGAACATCCAGCACATAGACTCGGCTCGGCACATCACTACAAGTCAGCTGAACTAAACAGAGTTGACCCGAACGACTTAGTCTCACACCCTCAAAGTCAACGGCAACTGTCAATTCACGATCTCTCGCAGTGTAGATGCTCTCGATATGCCGCAGCAACGACATGAGGCTGCCATAGCAATCCACCAGAACAATACTGAATCCATTCGAAGAATGTTGGAATGTGTCATACCGTTCGTCCTCAGCCTTGAGGAAATCACCCTCATTCAGGTCCACGCTAAAGTGTCGGCAGAATCGCATCTCTAGGGCGTCTAGGCCTCGCTTTTCGGCAAGTTCCAACGCAACTGCCGCGGCTTTTGCTCGGCAATGTTCCAATAGCATCACCAGGTAAGACAGCAACAGGGATGGGTAAGACAGCAACTCGGTCAAATGTCTCAATTCCTCGACATCGACGTCACTTGCCGCCAACCGTGCCAAAGCACTTGCGATGCAAGAAGACTCTGACCCAAGCAGCTGAAGGACCACATGATAAACAAAGCCACGAAAGGCCACGCGCAAAGAGCTCATTGTCTCAAGGTCGTCCCCACCAATTCGTATCGTGTGCATGTACTCCATTATCTTGCAATGTTGGTGATCCTTTCCCGACGTAGAAGCGACGAGAACTAGCTCATCCAATGAATGCAACCTCTGTTCAATCCATTCAGCAAATGCTAGGATGACCTGACACTTCAGAACCTCTGGGCGCGACTCTCCAAACGAGATAGTCTCATCTGGCAACTGTGTCAGGAACTCGAGGAAGTTCTGCGTCGACTCCTCGCTGCAATCCTCCAAGAACAGCTGCAGAACTTGTGCAGCTAAAATAGTGGGCGGCCTAGGCCAACCAAGCACCGGCTTGTCTGACATCGATCAAGTCGAAGTAAATCCATCACACGAATCTTCTGAAACGACTGCTGATTCCATAGGTATGGATTCCCATAGCCATCGTAATGGATGACGACTTCTGCTAGGCTGCTAGGTGGTTGCCCTTTTTCTAGCTCATTGTCAGGAAGCTCTCTGCAATCAATGTGAGAATAAACACTCTACAGACTCTACAAAGTCCCTGGCACTTTGAAATGCTTGAAGGGGTGAGCCAAATGTTGAGAGCGCACTTCAGAGCAGGCCAAGTACCGTCACATGTGTAACAGGATGTAACGGGAAGCAGTTGCAAAATCAAGGAAACCCGAGTCAGCTCGACGTCAGGAGAAAGGGTCGTGGTCATCGACCACCTGACAACATCCTCGACAGTCCAGTCATCTAGCCTGCGCTTCAAACAGAGGAAGCTAAGCTGTGCACATCGGACCCACCATCCCGACATCTCCCGGCCTCCTCAGACTGCACCTTAGTAGACGAAATTTCAACCAATGTGTGTTGAGGATGACAACGAAGGTAAGGGCCCCTTTAATAAGGTCCCTCTCAACCTACTAGCGATGGCCTCCAACCTAAAAGTGCCTTTAAAGGAGGCCTCAACTTCTTCATTACGACCGCCACGCGACCTCCTTCGATCTCATTTTCGCCAACTCGTGTCCCGGCACGACCCGGCGTGACCCAGCGTGACGTGACATCCCCGTACCACCGGTACCCATTGGTATCCACCAGTTGTATCAAAGTGAGACAGTTTTTGTGGTAAGCTGGAGGGGTCGCATCACACTGGGTCAGCGTGAGACCCGCCACATTGAGTGGCAAACTGTTCTCGCCACCGCATCACATCTTGACATGGAGGAATGCTGACAAAAACAATTTCTGCAACAATGTTTTTTAAGACATGGTTCTCGTTTCTGCGGTGAATGTCCCGACCCTGTGCACAGGCCTAGCTGCATGGATCTTCGGCGCACCTGTCGCTGCCCCCGAGCCCATACATGCAAACACCTCAGTCTGAAAGCCTCAGCTGAGCCCTGGCTCTAAGATTTGGTTTTCGGGGCACTCCGATAAAGAGCAGTCAGGTTCAACATCCACGTGTCTCCAGCCTTCAGCGAAGAGACACGTGCGGTCGAAACAGTTTTGCGATTCACCATTTCCACCGGCACGCATTCGTTGCATACAGATTCCTACAGAGTTCCTACCATCCATTTTCGTGCGCTTTCGTAGCGATTGTCGTCGCACGGCTTCTCATTCATTTGCGGCCCAATGCCTCAGCTCGCACCCGGTATCAAATGACGGTAGCCAGGCCAATCTGCGGGCGCTTCGAAGTGATACCTCAGAATCCAGCTATCATCAGCTATCATCAGCTATCCAGTAATCCAGCCGCTACTTTTTGGTGCTCTTTTTGGAAAATGCCGTGAAATAGATGTGTCGAGGCTCCTCTCCATGAACTCCAAAAGAGCTAAAACAGGTCCATCCACTGGTCGCTCTGGAGAATGACTGTTCCTGCACAGCTCCTGGTCAGAAACACCGAAGCCATCCGAAACACGCAAACCATCTGCAGAATCTACTTTGAGAACGAAGCATTTAAAGCACCAAACCACCTCTGAATAGTGACAGGTGAGGAAAAGGTCTCGAGCCACCAACCACTCGCCAGCTTCGTAGTTGCGGACACCCACTGCAAACCGCTCAAAGAACTCCTGAAGTCAAAGACCCGCCGCAAGAGTAACGAGAGTAACAAGTAAAGCAGCAAACATGCTTTCAAGATGTGTCAACAACTCATTTCATCACGCAACTTGCCTCCCTACACTCCAAAAATGTGTGCGATTCTTTCTTGAACTCTTCCCACCTTTGAATACGGCTCACGCATCTCGACAAAGTCTGAATGCTCTGAAAGGATTTCCACAATATCAAAGTCTGAGGTCCATAGCCTTGGATTCCACCAAAACTGAGGGATCAACAAAATATAGCAAAAAAATACTCGACGGGAACGAAAAAGGAAAAGGGGATCAAACAAATGCTCCCAGTGAGCGAAGAAAGGAAAAGAGGACTAGGAAAGAACAGCAGGGCGGGCGAATAGAGGACCATGACAGGATGTTTGCAACACATTGACATCAACAAATTTAGGCGAGGGTGTGCAGTGGTGTGGATATGCGATGGGTGACCTTTAACGAGTCGGTCGTGGCAGGCCCAGCGCCTCCCCCCCAGAGCGAACCTCAAAAGGTACCACAAAATAGATCACCCTTGAAAACTGCACACCCCATTGCCTCATCAATGAAGGGCACTCAGAAAGTGAGGCAAGGACCAAGGGAGCCGGGTAGCATTTTGTGTTCGCAAACATCCTGTTGACGATGGACCACAAGGCCAGCGGACCAGGACAAGGACCAGGGGATCAAAGGACCAGGGGATGAAAGGACCGGACCAAAGGACCTACTCAGGATTTTGTTGATCCTGTTCATGTTTGTTTATTGATCCTGTTCTTTTGCCTTTTGATCTAGATGCCCACCAAAACCCCATAAAGCCTTGGAAGAACACGACACAAATGAGCAAAAGAGAACGACCAGTAAGTGTCGGATGTTTCTGTACCAACAGGTGCCAGTTTGAACTTGTGCAAACATGGTGCTCGTTTTTCACAGCTTCACGCATCTGTCTGACCTTGTACCGATTGTAGACCTGAAGAGATGCGACGACATGCCTTGTGCTCACGTCGCCGAAAGGACCGAAGTATGGCTATGCCACAAAAATGCATTTTGTCTTTTTTGGGGCCCATGGTCCTGCCTCGTCACTTAGTTAAAGATTAGTTAAGTAGGCACCTATTTAATTTAAGTTAGGGAGAAGTTCGCTCCTAGCTAGGACGCAGGACAACGCTCGCCCTAATGATTTGGTTCCCAGATTTTCAGGAAGCTAAACTACCAAGAAGGTTTCACTTGGGTCGAACGTTCCGTTTGGCACCTGGCCTTCTTCTTGGTGCCTCGAAGTTTGGGTTTCACTGAGACTCGACTATGATCGAGATCCAAGGTGTAGAGCCGCAAGGTCTTCTTGGAGCCTGAGAATTGAAGTCGAGTTAGAACTAGACTGTAACTAGACTCTAGGAGTCTAGGCGATCAAGCAAATGGAAAGACCTGTGTCTATCTAACTCTTTCCTGCCTTCGAGCATGACATTGTCCACCATGCGGAAGTACGAAAGCAACTCATCGCTGCCTTGGACGCGCAGCCGCGACTCGCAGCCGCGACTCCCCAAAAAGACAGCTGTCGACAAGTCACACAGCTTGACCATGTAATTCGACAAAAGGATCCAAAGGCCCAATTGATCGGATGCAGCTTCGAGCTGTGAAGCAACATTCACATTTGGTGACCTCAAAACGAATGCACAAGTGGGCCGCACGTGTTGTGAGGAACCTATCGTCTTAGAGAATCTCTCTCAAATTTTCTCTCCCAGCATGAGCAATGGGGACAGCATGGCAAGTCCTTGCTTTAGGCCAACCGTTTGGCAAACACATTGCCTTAATCACAAGCCCCTCTCTCGTACAACAAAGCCGCAAATATGATGCATCGATCTTGTACTCGCTCCCAATGGCACCCTCAATCGCCCAGCCGCAGTGCAATCCAAAACCTAGCGTCACCTGCACTGCATTCATCTTTGGAAAATTCTGGCTCTTTTGCCTCTTTTGTTTCTTGCTTGATACGTTTGACAAACTATCGACTATCGATGCATCTTTCGTTTGGGGCTAGAGCTAAGGGTGCAATTCTAATGCAATCACTGATCGTGTTCAGCTTCCAAGGACAATTGTGCTAGCTGCTAGCTGTCGTTGTACATTGAGACAGTCCACCCTGAAATTTGGAAAACGCTGCTGAAGTCCAGGATGAAAGCGGTAGACTGCAAGCGTGTTAGACTTTTGCACTTCGATGGTGATGCAAACCTCAAGCAACAAAGGGCTCGCATGTGCTTTCAGGGGCTCAGCACTGATGCACCGTCGCCAAGTAGCAAAGGACATCATTGCCATGTCGGCAATCTTGGCCCTTACCTCTTGATCTGTCTCCCTTATGCGCCACACCTCGAAACATGTTGATCGTCTTCCGATGCAAACCCAACATATATATATATATATATCCAAGTGGCTACCAGAAAGGAGTTTCCACCAATGATCTTGTTTGGCGAGCCATGATAGGTGTCACAAATACCTGGTTCACAGCAATTGATACTCGGTTTGCTTCGCCTCTGGCATGTTCTTTCACCCTGACGACATTTGAAGGGCACCGTGCACAATCTCGCTCACTTGGTTGACAAAGACCATCACCTTTGGTCAGACAGTAGGGAAAATCCATTCCAACAACCACAATACAGTCCTGCTGTTTCTCGTTGCCCAGCAGAATGGATACGGGTTTGTGCTGGTGCATCGAACGACTAGCCATCACACTCAAAAATTTACCAGTCTCCTAACACACGCCTTCTCCTTCAACACATCGGTTGCATCACCGAAATTTCGGATGCTGCAAAAGCCAAAGACGGCTTCAACCTCTCGACCTGAACAATCGCAATTGAATCCGCAATTGCAACAAAAACTCACTTGAACAATTGCATTGGCAAAATCACCCAACTCAAGTGTTGGCTAGCCTGGCACCATGGCGTTCCTTGGAGGAGACAGAACCAAGTGCTTTGGACATACTCGGTTTGTCGCAAATCAACGAAACAAATGTTGTGCCTGTACATGTGACGGCTAGATTTCACTCGAAAATACTTGGGAGTTTATGGATCTGCGCGTGTGGCCACAAGGCTGGACCAGCAACGCCCTCCTGGTGGGTTTGGTTGGTTGGTAGGGTGGTCCGCGCCCTTGCTCCTTTGGAGTTTCAAGCAATGTTGATGGCTCGGACAGCCCAAAGCTTGCCCTTGATCTCAACAGGGTCATCTGAAAGCCCTTGCATCAATGTTCAAGTAAACCTTCAGAAACACAAAAAGTCGTTGTTTGTGTGCATCCACCAGGTTGGAGGCCATCGATTCGATATTAGCTTAGAGACCATCGCTATTGGGTTGGAGGCCATTGCATCTAGGTTAGGTGCCTCCCTCCAACCTGATAGCGATGGCTTCAACCTAGTAGCGATGGCCTTCAACCTAATAGCGATGGCCTCCAACCCAGTAGCGATGGCCTGCTTGCCCACAAGTCGGATACCCTCCCTCCCTCCCTCCCTCTCTTGGAAAACGTACAATTTCACCAACTCGGTTAGACTCTCAACATCTACATACATATAAATATCTTTCCAGCATACATCGACAAAGCTCACACGTCCCACTCAATAGATTGCACTTTTCACGGACATTACTGGCACCTCACGCAAAACAGTGCCGTTTTGAGCACAAGGCTATGGCAAAACTGGCCTCCAAGCATTCTGCTGTTTGGAATTCAGCCGGCCAGCAGGCACACTTGGAATTGAATAAAGAACGTAAACATACCTTATAGAAAAACGACTTTAAGTAGCCTGTG